CTTACAACATCTGGTATTACCAAGCGGTCACCCATCAGGGTACGGACCAGGCCTGACATTGCTTAACTTTTTTGATCGGATGAAAACTGGTTCTTCAGCAGAATATGTGCATAAGCCCATTATACCAGCTGCAAATCCAAGTCTACAGCACCTGATATTCCTAAGTGGTCACCCATTTAGGTATTAACCAGGCTCGACATTGCTTAACTTCAGTGTGATATCATTCTGCATTAAGCTTTGAGTGAATGAATAAAGACAGGGATTTTGGATCACGTAATCTATAGATTAAAAAATTCAAATATTCACTGCAATAAATTTATTTGAAAATATTTTCAAGCAAACGTTTCCCTTATTTGCAGCTATACAATCTTGGTCTTGATTTAAGCAAAAGACTTTAATCCTCGGTTTCAAACACAGAACAGATTCAAAGTCTTTTTGCCATAGACTCGCTTTTCAAATGATGCTGATTTCCCCAGGGTAAAGAATTTTTGCTGGAGGAATGAATCAATTCAATGTAAGGTAATGTCAACTACACAAGAACCAATGTCGTAGTCAGGCATAACCATTTTCTCCAAAGAATTCTCTTTGAAATGGAAATCCCCAAAATTATACTTAATGACCAGATGACATGCATACATCGAATACTGGTTTGTTTGAGAACAAAATTCAAGATTTATTCTTGTGGCTGATGTGGGAGGAATGAAAAGTATAGAGAGAAACGAACGACAGCAACATCTGGTGATGAATTATCAATTTTCACCCCAGAAATGTAAATTTTATACAAGAAAGGAATCTGAATTAGTTTTGGAAAGAAACCATCAACAAAATAAACACAAGTGTAAATATGCAAGTATATTTGCATATATATATATATATATATTCACACACAGGTATATCATGTTTGTATATCCTAATATACAAATACATATATAAATGTATATATATATAGTCACATATCCATAAATACACACAAAATATCGATAATTTTATATTATATAAACCTTTACATATACGCACAAAGTGTGTATGTGTGTGTGTGTATATATATATATAGGAATGGGGTTACGTAAATGAAATCACTAGATATTAGCAACCATATAAGCGCGTGCTGGCATGCATACACAGATAAGCAAATAAATAATTACCAAATCTTGCCAAGAGGTGTAAACATAATAATGCTTGTATGGTTAGATGGAGCTAAGAAATATATATTAATAAATAAACATATACCTACTTTTGATGTGTAGCTTAAGTTTTGTTGGTTACCCATTTCATCAGGCACAAGATATAGCTCATTGTTTAAAAAAAAAAAAAAAATTTTTAAAACAATAAGCTATATCTGGTGTCAAACAAAACTTATGCCAAACATAGGTGTATGTGTATATATATATATTACTATAAACATTATATTCAAGTGGTTCAACGTGTTGGAATAGACATCACAGTGAAATTAATTTCAACCAGTTTAGAGATCGATATGTTCAATTAAGTAAAACGACCCCCCCAACTACAACATCCACTTTTAAGCCAAATATGTATATATAAATAAAAAGAAAGAACAGTAAGATATATAATCCGGTGTTCTTATAGATATTTTTATTTTTACAAAATAGTGATCAATGTAAATTAACAGAGCATTAATACTGCTGAATCTTCTAATCTCATTGGTCTTTTTATTTTATATAACCTTACAGCGCACCCTGATATCAATATAACTGACATTGGTTTGTACAGAGACGATGGACTTATGGTTATTAGAAACTCAACTAACTTCAAAATAGATAGAATTAGAAAGGTATTATATAAACAATTTAAAAGCATGGGCTTAAAAATTATGGTTAGTACTAAATTAAAAAAAAGTGAACTTCCTAGATATAACATTAGAATTAAATGAAAATACATACACACCTTATAAAAAACCCAACATCAATCCTTTATATATACACCCTAAATCAAATCACCCCCCCCATCTATAATTAAACATATACCGTTATCTATCAGTAAAAGAATTAGTACAAATTCAGCAAATGACAAGAGTTTCGATGAGCATATCAATTCCTATAACAAAGCTCTAAAAGGGAGTGGCTACAAAAACCCAAAACTAACTTATATAAAAAATGAAAATGAAAAGCATAGGAAAAACAGATGTAGAAAAATAATTTGGTATACACCCCCATACAACCAAATGGTAAAAAACAAATTAGGACAAAAATTCCTCGCATTAATAGTCAAGCATTTTCCTAGTGGAAGTAAACTAAGTACTATTTTCAATAAAATACACTAAAAATTGAGTTACAGCTGTATGGAAAACTTAGAAAAATTATTAAGAAACATAATGCTAATATCTTAAATAAACACTTATACCAAAACCAAAAAAATTTAGACAATGGAAAAATAAAAATAAAAACTGATGAAAATAAACAAAAATTATGTAACTGTAGAAACCCTCAAAATTGCCCTCTACAAAATAAATGTCGCACTGAATCATTAGTATACCAATGCAATATCTCTTCAATTGAAAATCCTGAAAACAAAAATATATATAGGTTCCACAAGCCATGAGTTCAAAAAAAGATTCAACCAACATGCATCTCTATCGAAATACTTCTGGCACCTAAAAGAATCAAATAAAACACCTACAGTAAAATGGAAATTAATAAGAAAAGCTAGAATATGTAGGTCATTAAATGACCCATGTCCTTTGTGCATACATGAGAAACTATATATTACTAAGTTTATAAAAAACAAAAATTTACTGAATCAGAGAAATGAAATAGCTATTTTATGCCGTCATTGTCAAAAATTTTCCTTAAATAATATTTAAAAATAAAAATAAATTTAAAAAGTGCGACCTGGTAATATACGTACTTAAATTTAATGGAAAAAATAATTTTATATACTGTAAGTAATTCTATTACATCTACAAAAAAAGTCTATTAAAATAACAGTGAAAATACTTTAAAGTTGTATTTAAAATTTTAGTTAAAACGAATTCTAACCTAAACATCTTTTAAAATTGTATTTAAATAAAACGTATTCTAACCAAAACACCTCTCTCAAAGTACTACCGGTACTTAAAGGAATCCAATAAAACACCTACAGAAAAATGAAATTATGATGCAAAGCTATAAGATGTAGGCCTTTGAATGTCCCATGTCCTTTGTACAGACATGTGAAACTATACATTACTAAAAAATAAATAAAAAATAAAGTTCACTAAATCAGAGAAATAAATTAGCTATTTTTACCGTAATTGTCATAAATTTTACTTAAATAATATTTAAATATAAAAAATTTTAACAATCGTACATACTTATACTTGATATGTAAAAATAATTATACTTACTGTAAGTAATTCTAATACATTTACTTTTAAAAAAGAAATATAGTCTATTAAAACTAACAGTGAAAATATTTTAAAGTTGTATTTAAAATTGTAGTTAAATAAAAAGAAATTCTAACCATAACATCTTTTAAAATTGTAATTAAATAAATTGTATTCTAACATATAGATCTCCCTATAAGTAATACAAGCACTTAAAAGAAGCCAATAAAACACCTACAGTAAAATGAATTTAATATGAAAAGCTAGAAGATGTAAGCCATTGAATGACCCATGTCCTTTGTTCTTACATGAGAAACAAGATATTACTAGGTTTATATAAAAAATAAAAGGTTACTAAACCAGTGAAATCAATTAGCTATTTTTGGCGTCATTGTCATAAAGTTTACTTAAATAATTTAAAAAAAAAAAAAATTGTTAATAATATACATACTTATAGTTGATGTGAAAATAACTCTACATACTGTAAGGGATTCCAATACATTTACTTACTCTTAAAAGAAATATAGTATATTAAAAATTAAAAGTGAAAATATTTTTCAAATTGTAGTTAAATAAAAAAACGTATTCTAACCTCAATACCCCCACCCTCAAAAATTTTTTTAAAAATATACAAATAGAAAAAATGCCGTAAGAATCTTTGCCGTTAGCAATAAAATTAAAAAAAAAAATCCAGACGACATGCATTTAACGGATGTCAGATTTCATTGAAGAATACATTCCCTACCCCTACCAAAACTGATACATTAAAATACAGACATAATGAATACACAAACACCCCCCCTCGGTCTGGTTGAAATGAATTTCGCTGTTTCCTTGGAAACGTAAATTTTGATTTTTGCTGACTTTAAAACCCAGTAATTTTGTAAGTTACTCCAAAATTCGCTTGAGGATGAAATGGAACTAATGTCTTTAATTTAATTATAAAATTAAATTTGGACCTTCCATTTTTCAAACATGGTTAGAACTGTGTAGCGGAATAACCATATTTTAAATCAATTAATTTATAATATATATATATATATATATATATATACACACACCCACCGGATGTCTAGCCACACTGATGAGCTGTGATACAGCGAAACAGTCTGTATGAACAATATATATGCTCCTGAAAAATTTATTTCGGTTGAACTCTCTGGGGAGGAAGTGTGAGTTTGTAAACAGTGAATATTATGGCTAATAATGCAAGACTCTTTGGTAAAGCGAATCAAGTTCTCTCAGTCACTGTGTGTTTATCCAAAAATAAACATGCTTAAATTCACCTTCATCCCTGTCATTTGCCAATGGCTTAGAAGTAGAATCTCCGGCTGATGCCAATTCAGCCAGTTTCAGTTCTAGCTAGAAACAACCAGACGTCTAGCCACACTGATGAACTTTAAACAGTCTGTCTGTGGATGACATATATATATATATATATATATATATATATATATATATATATATCATGGCCAAGTGGTTAAAATGCTTGGTTTCTGACCATGGGATCCGGGTGTGAATCTCACCATGGTCGATTTGTCAGGAAGGAGACTACCTGATGTTATTGGTCTAGAGCGGGGAAAATCCCAGTGTGCAGCACCTTGAGAGTAAAATTGTGTAGACAGAACATTTGGGGCTGTCGATAGCTCTGCTAGCACAAAGTCACAAGTCATCGTGACCGAGGGTTTGAGTGTGCTAGTGTTGTTCAGATCGTTGATCATTCTAGATAACACGCTCTCTTCCAGAAACTCTAAGGTCTGCTCAATATAGATGCAGCATCAACCACATTAAAAGTATACAGTTAAAGTAAGTTTTAGAACAGGGATCAGCAACCTTTTGCCGAGAGTGGGTCAAAAAGATATGCAATGTCTTGCCGGAGGGCAATGATAGCAAATATATTATAAGAAATTGTCTTGATCGCAGATTGTTCCATCTAAAAGGTTACTTTGGTCTGGAGGTTTAAAACAAAAACAACGAAGTTATTATTTAAACAAGGTTCCTTATTTTACTGCAGGAATAACAGAATAACACCAAATACAAACAACAAAGAATGCAAATTCTTTTCTACAAACGAAGTACAGTAAATAGTGGCTAATTATTTAATGAGACATTTATTTCTGCTTATTGTTTGATAACTTCTCTGCATCAAGTGAAATATTTGTCAATAACAGGAGCGAAACATTGTTTAGGTGGTCATCAGTCACCCTTGTTCTTAAATGACTGATTCTAAGAAAAGTAGATTGTGTTTGTTAATTATTAATTGTATCTAAACTACCATCTGTATACAACCATTTCCTTGTTTCAATGATTAAAAATGGAGTCAAATGAATGGATCTTTTAGGTCAAGGGTCACAACATTTTGGAGAGAGAAAACCATCTTGGGGGAGGGATATGAAATTAAATTATTTAATGAGACATTGATTACTGCCTATTATTCGATAACTTCGCATCAGGTGAAATATTTGTCAATAACAGGAGCAAAACGTTGTCCAGGTGGTCATCACCCACCCTTGTTCTTAAATGACTTTTAGCATATTTCATTTTCAGAAAAAATTGTTCACAAGCATATGTACTTCCAAATGCCATATTATTCACATTATTTAATTTTTATTTTATATTTTCTGCTTGGCAAAACATTTCTTCTAGAAGTCAGCAGTGGATTCAGAATGAAATTTTAATGTAAAACACAAACAACAAAAAAAAAGCAAATTCCTTACTACAAATGAAATAGTGTTAGAAATGGCAAATTATTTAATAAAGAACTTGTTCCTGGTTCAATAACTTCTCCACATTAGGGGAAATATTTGTCAATGATATGAACAAAACATTATCCAGGTGGTCATCACCCAACCTTGTTCTTAAATGATATTTAATATATTTCATTTTTTAAATAAATTGTTCACAAGTATATGGACTTCCAAATAATGATAGCTTTTCACGTTATTTAATAGTTTTTTGTTTTGTTTTTTTCTGTAGAGGACAGCAGTTGATTTGGAATTAAATTTCGATTTCAAAAATTCATTACATTCTAAATTGATTGACTCCAACTGATATATAAACCACTAGCAGCATGGCACGGCGTTGCCCGTGCTTGATTCAAAAGTCGTACGACTCATACAGCAATCGCTATCACTTGAATTAAAATATTTTTGCCCTTCCTTGCCTTTAAAAGAGTGCCCTTTGCCGTGCTGATGTTGCTACATGCCTTACTTCTTGCCTATCTCACACTGCCAACTTTTTCTAAGCTCTATACTAAACATTAAGTCTGTTACGAAAAAAGAACTAAACAAAATAAACACAATACGATCAGCTTTCAAAAAACCGGAAAAAACATTTTTAAGGGGTTGACCGATTGTCGATTTGCGCTCTGTTTGGGGGGTGCTTAGAGTTGAAACTTCACATGATGACTCCCAATGGCCTCTTCATAAATCCGCTCGGTTTTCGCTAAAAACTGACATGCGGTTCAGGCGCAATCTGGGCGTATCGGTTTTGGGGTTTTTATCAATTTTCCGCGCTGTTTAGGGGTCCGTGGTCATGAAACGTCTGGACAACACTTCTAATGGTAGACTCTAAGAGGGTGTCAAATTTGGTTGAAATGCAATCATTCCTTCTGTAAGCAGAATTTTTTTGATTATCGATTTTTTCGGAACCTGATTCCGAACTCAAAAATCGGGCTCCGTCATGTCCTTACGGCAGCCAAACAAGCAAACTTGTGTTGAAAACCGCATCGAAATCGGGTGAGAAATGTGGCCTGGGCGAGGTAACAATGCCCACAACAGACACACAGACAGACAACATGAGAAATATAGATAGTAGATTATGTGCCAGAGCAGGTGTCTGTTAAAGGAACTGGCAAGCCAGCTTTGCAGACAGGTGTGTTTGGAAAACAAGAGTAGCCAGCAATTACACATATGCTGTGTGCTATTATACACTGGTGTACCTGTGCCATTAAAATTGACAGTAAGAAGAAATGTATTATAAATAATATATTGTAAGTAATTTTTGTTTAATCCAAGTACAATTTTGTACACTATTTACATTATTCAGACTATTGTCCTCATCTTTGTCGCCATATTTATTACAATATTTTGGTCGTTGTATGCTCCGGCCTGCTTCAGATGGTTGGAATGTCGAACTGAACCCTTTATTTCGCTCACTGGGTTAGACTATTCTAG